ACCTTGCCTAGGGGAAAGGACATCATGACCGTCACTGGATGTGACTCGAAGTAATGATGTAATTTCCTCTTGGTGACAAGGATGGCGTACATGAGTTTTTGGATTTGGGGGTAGCGAGTCTTGGAATCAGACAAGACCTCGCTAACGAAGTACATGGGATGCTGTACTTTGAGGGCGTGTCCCTCCTCTTCCCGCTTCTACCTACTTTGAGGGCGTGTCCCTCCTCTTCCCGCTCTACCACCAGGGTGGCGCTGACTACTTGTGTGGTGGCCACAATGTAGAGCAGGAGTGGTTCCCCATTGGTTGGGGGGACCAGGATCTGGGCCTTCGTCAGGAGCTGCTTGACCTTGTCAAGTGCCTCCTGGGCCTCGGGTGTCCATTCAAACGGTCGGCTTTCTTCAGAAGCCGATAGAGGGGAGACCTCGTTTGCTGAGCTATGAGATAAAATGGCTGAGCGTGGCGAGGCACCCTATAACTCAATGTACCCCCTTTATGTTCTAAATTAGGCCCATCCTCATGATGGCCGAGATCTTCTTCGGGTTGGCTTCGATGTCGTGCTTGGAGACGATAAAACCCAGCATCATACCCCTCGGGACCCCAAAAACACATTTCTCGGGGTTGAGTTTGATGTCGTTTGCTCAGAGTTTTGTAAAGGTCTGCTCTAGGTAGGCTATGAGCTAGTCAACCCATTTGGACTTGACCATGATGTCGTCTATGTAGGCCTCAATGGTTCGCCCAATGAGGTCCTCGAAACACTTGAGCATACAACGCTAATACATAGCTCCCGTGTTTTTCAGACCGAACGACATTGTGACATAGTAGAACGATCCAAATAGGGTGATGAAAGACGTCGTGAGCTGGTCGGACTCTTTCATCGTGATTTGATGGTATCCGAAGTACGCATCAAGGAAGCAAAGGGTTTCGCACCCTACAGTCGAGTCGACTACTTGGTCTATGCGTGGCAAAGGAAATAGATCCTTTGGACATGCTTTGTTGAGACCCGTGTAATCAACACACATTCTCCATTTCCCACTCTTTTTTCTTAAAAGAATAGGATTGGCTAACCACTCAGGGTGATACACTTCCTTGATGAATCCGGCCACCAAAAGCTTTGTAATTTCCTCGCCGATGGCCCTGCGCTTCTCCTCATCGAAGCAACACAGACACTGCTTCACTGGCTTGGAGCCTAGCCTAATCTTCAAGGCATGCTCGACGACTTCTCTCGGAATGCTTGGCATGTCCAAGGGTCTCCACGCAAAGATGTCTCTGTTGGCGCGGAGGAAGTCGATGAGCGCGCTTTCCTATTTGGAGGAAAGCGTGGTGTTGATGCGTACCACTTTGCCCTCAGACCTGCTGGGGTCTATGAGGACCTCCTTGGCGCCCTCAACGAACTTGAAAGACCTAGCCGACTGCTTGGGGTCAGGTGCTTCTTCGACAATCTCCTCCCTGATGGCCGCGAGCTCTTTGGAGGCGACAATCACCGCGACGTGTTCGCAGCACTAGACCTCGCACTCGTAGGCGCACTGGAAGGAGGTGCCGACGGTGATGACCCTACGTGGACCCGACATCTTTAACTTTAGATAGGTGTAGTTGGGGATGGCCATGAACTTTGCGTACAATGGACGTCCCAGGATGGCGTGGTAGGTCTCGTGGAACCCAACCACCTCAAAGGTAAGGGTCTCCATCTTGTAATTGGTCGGATTCTCAAAGGTGATGGGTAGATCGATATGCCCAAGCGGCACGGCCTGCTTTCTAGGCACGATGCTGTGGAAAGGCGCCCTGGTTGGCCGGATGCGCGATCGGTCGATGCCTATGGCGTCGAGCGTCTCAGCGTACAAGATGTTGAGGTCGCTGCCTCCATCCATTAGCACCATGGTGAGCCGCTTCGTGCCGACAATCGGGTCAACCACGAGCAGGTATCTTCCGGCTGTGGGACACTTTTTGGGTGGTTGGTCCAATCAAAGGTGATGGCAGACTTCGACCATTGGAGGAAGGAAGGCGTGGCCGGCTCGGCCGCATAGACCTCGAGGCGCGCAAGCTTCTAGCGGCGCTTGGAGTCATAGGCCGCCGACCTCCCGAAGATCATGAGGCAGCCATCCGGCATCGGAAAGCCGCCGTCCTTCCCCTCGGCGTTGTCTCCGCACCGCTTGGGCTCCTTTCTATGCTCCCCCTTATTGGAGCCACTGAATAGGAACCACTTCATGAGGGCGCAGTCTTTGTATAGGTGCTTGATGGGAAAGGCATGGTTTGGGCATGGCCTTTCGAGCAGCTTCTCGAAGTGGTTTGGGGTACCCTCGGTGGGCTTCTGACCCCCTTGCGGTCGGTAGCGGCCATGAGCGAGCCCTCGCACCGCTGCGTGTTCTTCTTCTTGTTTGGGCGGTTGGAGGTGCCTTCGCCGGCGTCCTCATCCCGCTTCACCTTGACCTTGGGACGGTCGAACATTGCTCCGACCGCCTCCTCGCCTGAGGCATGGCTGGTGGCGATGTCGAGGAGCTTCTTGGTGGTTCATGAGCCCTTGTGTCCCAGCTTGTGAACTAGGGACTCGTAGGTGGTCCCGGACAAGAAGGCTCCTATAACGTCGGCGTTGGCAACGTCGGGCAGCTCGTTGCACTGCCGAGAGAAGTTCGGATGTACTCACGAAGAGTTTCCCTAGACTTTTGTCTATAGTTTTTAAGATGCCATGAGTTCCTAGGACGTGTGTAGGTGCACTAGAAGTTTCCCACGAAAATCTCCTTTAGGTCCACCCAACTTTGAATCCGGTTGGGTGGAAGGTGCTCCAACCATGTTCGCGCCAAATTGGCCAGAAACAATGGGAGGTTGCGGATAATGAAACTATCACTATTCTGCTCCACCGACTTGGCAAGCAAGCCGGTAATCCTCGAGCCATAGTCTGGGGTTCATTTCCCTAGAATATTTGGGATGTTGGTCGGTGGTCGGTACCACGGTGGGAAGGCGGCGTTGAGGATGTGTCGGACAAAGGCCTAAGGTCCCTACAGGTCGGGGCTCGGGCTTTGGTCCTCGCCGCTGTCGTAGTGTCCGCCATGATGAGGGTGGTAGCTACGGCTGGCTTCCCCTCTCTCGTCGCTTCGTCCACGCCTACGGGCATCTAGAGTGTTATGTGTGTCACGGTGGAGGCCGACATGCTCATGCACCGGGGCGCGGCGTGCCCCCGCCGCCACGCGGCGCCTGGTGGATAGACACATCCCTGACATGTCGTCCCGAGGGCATGCGGTGACTGGGGTCGAGCTCGCGTCGCCGAGACAGCGAGCTCTCCACCTGCTGCACCGCCGCGCGCTTGAGCAGCATGTGGATCTCGTGATGGGCCCGACGATCCTTGGGTGTCGCGGGCTCCGGGAGCCCTCGGAGCAAGGCTGCATCGGCAACGATGTTCTGGCTTGCCCGGGCGAAGTGTGGGAGGGCTCCATCGTCTTCGATGATCCTCCGGTTCACGTCGCTGGCCATGGCACACGCACACCCACCGTCTCTGCGGCACTCGATCTCTCGCTCGAGCTCTGCGCGCTCCTGCTCGAGTTGGAGTCATGCATCCTCGAGATCCTGGTGCCGCGCCCTTAGCTGTTCCACCCGCATGCGAGGAAGGGCCCCTGCATCCTCCTCGACCTCGTCGTCGATGTCGTTTGGTGGGGTAGCCCCTCCCTCGTGGATGCTTTCGACGCGTCCCTCGGGGGTACCTGCCATAAAATATTCTCGCGAGGGGTGATGGCTCCCCTTGTTGGAGTCAGAGTCGGAGAGCGACTCTGAATCTCCCGCGAGAAGGTCGTGGAAAGATTCCGCGACGTATTTGGTCATCCCCACGAACTCGTCGTTCGTTGGGGATGGGTGCATGCGCTGCGCCACGAGGTGGCCAACGGTCCCCCACAGCATTACAGGACCGAACGGGAACGTTGCCGGGGTGCCCCGGGTGAGGTGTTCCGGGGAGAGCGGTTCCCCTCCGGCGAGTTGCATCATGGCGTTGGCGAAGGAGAAAGTAGGGCAGCGCAGCTCCTCTCGGGACGGTCGGGGTCCTAGGAAGGCGTCGAGTTGGCGCTCCAGCCTCCCATAGTTGAAGGCGAGGAGCCGGTCTCTCCCGGGGACACTGGTCTCCGCGGCGTGTAGCTGCAGCTCCTCAAGCGCCTCGACGATCGTGTCGAGGTCGGCGGAGTGTAGAGGCTGAGACGACGGTGGCCGCCTATGCCAATTCTCTCTCTGTCGTGACGATGAAGTCCAAAATCCCGAAGCGCACGTGCGCGCTCAGGACCCAGCTGACGCCGTGACTAGCCATTCGAGGCCTGATGTGGACGTCGAGACGCGTAAAAAAACCCTACCTGGCGTGCCAACTGTCGGTGTTTCGAACCACCGGCTAGTAAATTTGTATCTACGCGTCTGGCCCGGATGGTGTGCTCAGAGGACACAAAGATTTATACTGGTTCGGACGGAATGTCACTACGTCCAGTCTGCTGCTGCTCGTATTACCGGCACTAGTTTGTAGTAAGGGTTAAAACGGGCGAGAGAGGAGAAGGTCCTAAGTCTCTAGTGAAAAGATCGAACGGAATTGAGTCTTGTTGAACTCGTTCAGCCATACCTTCTTGGGGCGTCCTGCTTCCTCTTATAAAATTGAACATGGCAATAAAAGAATTCAATAAAAAACTAAAAGGATTAGATCAATTCTTAAGGTGATGAATGGCAAAACAAATAATAATATATACATACCTTGTATATTTCTTATATATTGAAAATAGTAATTGTGTTTAGTGAAGGTGACGTGGATACTTGCATTATAGGTTGAAAGTTAATAGGCTGACATGGCATTAGCGGGAGATATAATGTGTATAGTTAGTGAGAAGTAATATAGGTGGCTTACGTGCTGAGACAAAAAATACAGTGAATGGTTGGATTTGGGCCTAAACAGGCTTTCGTGGGACATCCTTGTCAGGGCCTCAGGGGCGAAACAAAAATTTCCCACGGCTTCCCAACGAGAGCGAGGTTCCCCTCCCGACTCCGAGATGGCGGCGCCGGCGGCGGACGAGGCATGGTACCGGGAGACGGTGCCACGGGTGATGGAACTGGTGAGTCCACGCCTTCCGCAGCGGGACGCATGCGCACTGCTCGCGGTGAGCCCCTGGTGCTACCGTGCCCTCGTCGCCAACTCCAGGCTCTGGGAGGTGCGCATCGCCTGACAATCCCTAACTTCCGGTTTAGCTTGTTTAGATTGGAATCGTTGCTCTGAATGTTTAAGCCCTCGCTCCACTTAGCTTTGGCCGAAGTTAGGCCAACCTCATTTCCATTAAGGAAAAAACGGAAATTCAGAAACATTTAGGTTTATTAGAGACAGAAAACAGAAGCAAACCATACAGACTATCCCTGATCAGAAATCTGCCTCAGAAAACTAGCTACACAAGAAGAAAGCCTGCGACAAGAGAGAAAAGTTTGCTTAACCGACCGCACCTGAGCAACAAAGCACCCAACTGCATTACCTGACTTGCTTGACTTGACTCCATCAATAGCCTCGTAGCAATGCCCTGCCAACATCGTTTCCACACCTTCAATCATCAGCTTGCGTACTTCTTCAGGATACAAACCTGTCCAACAGCGGATTAGTGGCAAGCATGACAAATGATCTCAGAGGGATGCTTCATCAGTTTATTCTCAAAGCATGCTCTGTTTCTTGTTTTCTAAATCGTCCAACAGATTGCCATCCTCTTTGGGGGTGTGGAACTGGGCGATGTTGTGTATTTTGTCACCACCTGCTGTTGTACTTTTTTCTCTCTCGAACACATAGGTGTAGTTTGTCTTTTTGCTGTATGATGCGAGTATAGTTGCTCACGTTTCCACCGAACAATGGTGATGGCAGGCAATTTTCCTGTTATGTTGCATGCATTAGTTTGTGATATTGGGCTCTAATATCTTGGCCTAATTAGTTTTTAAGCTGGAACTCTTGTTATTATGTTATGTTATAATTCAGCAGCCACGGGGACTTCATGGTTTTTTTTGGCCTGCTGAAGTCAGAATTCAACTTGTGGAGTTCACACTAACCTCTAACCAGGTTCAGTACTTTGTAATAACACAAGTAGCTGCTAATTCAATGCTACTTGCTCATCATCCAACTGACTTGATGCATTAGTATGACCACTTTTAACGTGATGCTTGCTGCCTAATATTGATTTGTGCTCTGTATGCATTTACTAGTGTCCTAATATTGATTTTTATTATATTATCGATTACTCTTCAGTCTTCACTGTTAAATACAGGTACTTGATCTACGTGAGATGAAGAATGCTGGAGACCGACTTATTTCAGCACTTTCACTGGTAACCGTAATTCTTCTGTTCGATAGTCCGTGCTATGCTAGTTGATAATACTATGTATATTTTTTGGGGGGCAGAGGCCTGTCGCTATGTTTTGTCTTACACATGTTATGCTTTCACATTTTTGTCCTGTTTTGAGTACTTTTGATGACATATTGTTCCATTCTTATTTAGGCAAGGTATCGTCATCTCAAAGTACTAAACCTTGAATTTGCTCAAGATATTGAGGACCGACATTTTGTTCATCTAAAAGAAATGGCAAGCTTTGCTCCCATTTTGTACTTTTAAATAAATCTAAATATGATGTTCCAACTCTAATGTTCATTAATTATGCAATGATTACAGAGTGGCATCTCACTGGAAAATTTGGAATTACTGAACCTAAATGCATGTCAGAAGATCTCTGATAAAGGAATTGAAGCTGTTACCAGTCTCTGTCCTAATCTTCAGCGCCTTGCTATCTATTGGATTGTAGGGTATATTTCTTACTGAATGTTTACTTTGGTGAATATGAATTTGTTTCTCATTGTTGGACATTTTGCTGCCTTAGACTGACAGACTCAAGCATTGGGCACATTACAAAGAACTGCAAGCAGATAGTGGACCTCAACTTGAGCGGTTGTAAGGTAGCATGCATTTTTTTATTCTATAGCATTTTGTTGTTTCCCATGTTCTTTTCTTGAATATTGAAGCAAGCAATTGTGGACATGCTATTCTAGAAGTTTATTTTAAATGTATATGATGATCATTTGCAATGTCTATCTCCAAAGAACATTGTGCCTACGATCATTTTCTTTTCTTGTTTAATAATTGGTATCATGAATGTTAAGTTTGAGGCATGTACTGATGTACTTACATATATATGTACCTTCATTCACTACTTACCTTACAAAGTATGCAATAAGGATTTTGTTTTACTTGGTTCAATTGGACGAGAAGATTATCCTTGTTTGGTTGTGGGCTATATTTGGAACCATACAATCTTTCTTGAACATTGTGCTGAAAAAGAACCATGGTACAGAGAAAGAATACGCAATACAGTCTTGCTACATTGAAGTTCTCATGTAAAAGTAGAGCACAACATGGTTATAATGGAATATTAATTGTAGACTTCAATATTTAATTTTCATGTCAATCTCTCATTACCAATTTTTCCTTGTCTTTTTGCTCCATCAATCATATATATTGCACATTCATATATCTGCTATAACAGTGATTCAAGTTATAAGTTGGTTGTTGCAATTGCAGAATATCTCAGATAAAGGAATGCAGCTAATTGCTAATAATTACCAAGAACTAAAGAAATTGAACATAACCAGGTATGGTTAAATTTCTGGAATACATCCATCACAAAACAAGTAATAATTCTTAACATGTGTCTTAGTGCTTACCCATCTTTTTGTTTTCACAAATTTTGCGTGTTTGGGTAGAAGCAGAATGTGATACCTAAATGTTCCTGTGTGCTCAATTGTCCAGGTGTGTTAAGTTGACAGATGATGGGCTTAAACAAGTTCTTCTGAAATGTTCTTCACTTGAAAGCCTAAACCTTTATGCCCTTTCGAGGTAAATTTGAGAAAAATAATATTATAGCAGATGTGTCTAGCCGTGAGTAGGGTATCTAACAACTTACCTCATTTTCATGCAGTTTTACTGACAGGGTTTATAAGGAGATAGGATCATTAAGTAATCTTACATTTCTAGACCTATGTGGTGCTCAGGTAACTGTTATCTTATTTACTTTGAACTATCAAGCCATTTTTTTTCATAATCTACTGATACGGGATTTCTAGAATCTAACGGACGATGGTCTTGCATGCATATCAAGATGCGGATGTCTAACATACCTCAATTTGACTTGGTACATGAAGAGCAAACTTCTCCTTTTTTCCCTCAGTCAAATAAGATTCTGTGTATCAAACTCTGCAATCACTATCTGACAGGTGTGTACGTGTTACTGATGCTGGCATTGTAGCTATTGCGCAAGGTTGTCAGTCCCTCGAACTGTTAAGGTAACATGGTAGTATTGTCCTTAAGAAGATAGGGCATTCATCGTGTTTAAATGCATGCTCTGTTTTTGCATCCATGTAGTTTGTTTGGAATAGTTGGGGTGACTGATGCATGCCTCGAGGCTTTGTCAAAATCTTGCTCGTCCAGCCTCACAACACTCGACGTAAATGGCTGCATAGGTATTAAGGTGAGGATTTCCGAAGTCACTGTAACTACAAATTTGACCATTGATTGCAATTCGCAAGTCACAACCCTTTGCTTCCCATGATGCTATTTTTTTTTTTTTGCGGAAATTCCCATGATGCTATTTGATGATGTGTGTATCTGAAGTTTTAGTTCTGAAGATTTTTTTTATGTTGTCATTTTTTTTTACTTGGACATGTTTGACAGAGGAGGAGCCGGGATGACCTGCTGAAGCTGTTCCCATCACTGAGTTGCTTCAAATTGCACAGCTAGCAGCCACCATGGTTCTCGACGGCTTTGCATTGAAGGGGAAGGGAGGTGTTCCGGTGTGTGTTTTGACGTCAAGTTCCTGTGTTCATCTTTTTTTTTTATACGACTATGTATGTATGTATGTATGTATTTTATTAAGAGCAAGAGAAGTTCTACAGCATCCCAATCTATGGAAGCGGCTAACCGACCTGAGTTGGCAATCTCAAGCATCTCTGGTACCTTAAAATCAGAGCTTGTTCTTTCAACAGCCTGCATTCATCATTCTCTATTCTCTGTAACATGCAGATACTATCCAGAGGTTTGAGCATCACCGCAGGCCCTGCTTGAGCCCTCAACTAAATTTGAGGGCTCGAGTCAAAAAAGGGCTTAGCCCTTATTAGGGCCCTCAAATTTTAGAGAGCCCTTAAATACTTCCCCGAGGCCTCATTCCAAATTTCTGTCAAGGGGTTATTTCTCCCTCCCGCCTGAGCACGGATACATTGGCGGGCCTCCCGCTCTCCCAGGCAGGGAGCCCCTCTAGCTGGCACAGCGCCGTTCGCCTGCACTCTGCTCATGACGGTCGAGGCTGAGGACCTATGCCACCTGCGCCCTGCTTATGGCAGCTGTTACGAAACGACGTCTGTTCTCAACAGACGCCTCTTCACGGTGATCTCATCCCGTCCGTAAGGACGGTTAGGATTAGGATTAGCATAGCAGTTAATCTCATCACCAAGGGGCTTGTCCTTTGGTGAACGGTTGTCTCTTGGAGACACCCCTCAAATGTATATAATCCCCTTTACAGATCAATGAAAAGATAGTTCTCCCAATCATTTGTTCAATTTACATTTCACTTCATATCACGTTATCAGCATGATGATGATAGTCACTAAGTTGTGAACTTAGTGTAGATCTCATAGTAGCAACAATGGTGCTACCTTGTGTATGACCAACAAACAAATAGAGAATATGCGCGTTATTCAATTGGTGAGAAAAATACACATAAAATGTCACATCCATTATTTAAGTGCGCAGTGCTTTAAAGTTGAAAAGCGTAAAAGGGCTTAAATAAAATGATTGATTGCAAAAAAGATAAATGAATAAATAATTTGCAAGAATATTGCTTATTGGATTTGTCATACATACGGGGACAAATGCTTTGAACAATATCACAAATGGATATTTTACAATGATAAAATATCACAAGTACAACTATATTTAAAGTCAGCAACTAAACATAAGAGTAATTAATTTTACAGCACATAATTATAAGAGACTAATAGAGTCATTTACGAATTAATGCTGAAAAATAAATAAAACAGAGAAATAGCCGACTGGACCAACAAACTCAAAAATCATGTTGAATAGGGCCCAGGATGGCACATGCTGGCGCGCATAGTGGGAGAGGGAGGGGAAGGCAGGTCGCAGGCCATTGGGCTGGCCCATGTGCGAGCGTGGGCTTATAAGAGGCGGTGGATGGCAGTTAGTGTTTCTCAACCCTAACTGTTCCTGCCTCTTAAGGCCACCGCCGCTGCTCGCCGTCTTCAAGTCGAGGACTCCCCCTCGTCGGGGGAGTAGAAGCCGCCGCCGATTGCCATGTTGAGCACCTCCGCGGACGGGAGGCCGAGGGCCACCGGATTCCAGGAGCCTACGTGGATGCCGGGCACCGGTTGACCGCCGCCACCCTGCGTTCGAGGAGGCGTCGAGCGTTGGGGGCATGGTGGCGGTGCCCTCGGTTAGGGTTGCAGCCGAAGGAGGACCCGAGAGGGCCATCGCCTTCATGCGGGCGGCGGCCTCTGCGCGTGTCGTGGCCAAAGAAGCAGTCACCGGTGCTAGGGTTGTTGCCGTGCCGTCGCGCGCGCCGAAGATACTCCGGGAAGGGGCAGCGCCACTGCCGGAGGAGACATTGAAGGGCCCGCCACGTCGAGGAAGGTGTATGGCGGGACGCCGGACCTGGCTGCTAGTGTGCCGCCGGATTGAAGAGGTTGCCGATGCCAGGGGCAGCCACCATCTCCTCGTCCTTGTCCTCGGTCTTCACTTGCTGGAGCATCGGCGCGGCGATAGTGTTGAAGTACCAGGGATCAAGGGCGTCACCGGGGATGCTTCTACCAGATGCCACTTGAGTCTCAGGGACCGGCATGGGCGATGGCAGTGAGTAGTTGTACTCCAGCGTGTGCGGCATCAACGTGTACTTCATGCAGAAGTCACACCAGTAGCGAGCGGTGCCGGTGCTGGCGACATCGGCTCCATGGGGACGTACGCGGGTACAATGACGGGCTCGGCAACCACTTCATCGACAGGCAGTGCCGGGGCTTCAACGACTGGTGGCGCCGGGGCTTCAACCGCTAGTGGTTTGGCGTTGCTTGGGCCGGCACCGTCCACGCCAAGGCAAGGTGACGATGGCTGGCTCTGCAGACGGAGGTTGCGCGAGAAGCATGGCGACCATGACGAATCGGACTCCATTGGTGGCGAGGAATAGCATCTGCATAGAGGCCATTGCTAGCGTTGTGGCGAACACGAGGCCCAAAGCGCTCGAAGATGCTACGGCGCTGTCCATGGTGGCCGTGGTGGTGGATCGGGCCACGACGAACTCCACCGACGTGGCGAAGGGCGAAGATCAAGCCACGGACGACATGGGACAGTAAGTTGATCTTTGCCATGGTGCTTACCGTGGTCGGTACAGTGGCATGTGTTCCACTGCTGTTGTTCTCCTTCTCTTGTTCCTGAGAGCAACGTGTGCTGATAAGATCTACAACTTTACTTGAGGCCGAAAAACATTATGAACTTATGGTTTAGAATAATCAGCAGCGCCCTATAGGGTTTGCTCCATTGCCTGAAGTACATGCCTACACTCAGAATAAACCCAAATTTGATGGTGGACCTTCTAAGACCCATCCTCAAGGAAATTCCAAGAAAGGTAAAAAACAACGCAGGCACAACAAGAAATCCCAAACTCATGTTTCCAACAATGGTAAGAACATTTTCAAACATAGGAATGACAAACCTATGTGTCAAAAGTGTGGTTGTTATAGCCATGCTACAAAGAAATGTCATACCTCAAGTCATCTTGTTGATCTCTACTTAAAGTCTATGGGCCGTGGACGTGCTACACTAGGACAGAAAGTATGAAGCCCATTTCAATCTTCTGACCTGACACCACTGTCGGTGTTTGATGAACGACAACTCATCACGGGGTTACCCGGGATGATGTTTGAAGGGCTTTGGCGTACGTAGAACTCGACAGTAAATGCAAAGAGACGAACGATTTATACTAGATTGGGTCCTCGTAATCGAGTAATAGCCTTTACGTCCAGTCGGCGTGTAGCCTTTTGCGTTGGATTGATTGGTATGATTGTTAGGGTATAAGGGGGGTGCACCGTACCTCTCTTTATATAGGGGAGAGGGTAAAGGTGCATATCTAGTCCTAGCCGATTACAATAGAAGAGTCTAGTTCTATTATAGAATCTAGCTTTCTTAGTAAGCCGACTAAGTTGATCACGCCACCTTGCCTCATGTCCTTCAGCATATCATGGGCCAGCCCAGGGCCCATCCGAGTAGTAACCCCTATGGGGAACCCCTAGGACCCTGGTCCGTCAAGCCCCCGAGCATGTCATGGTTGAACTTGGAAGCCTTCTTGTTCCTCCAGGTCTTGCCGAGTAGAAACAAGTGTAGTCCGAGTGCTTTTATGAGTGAAGCCATGAGGTGCTCTTTAAGTCTTCAAGTGGTGTGCGCTTTCTAGGAAAGTGCACTCATTGAGTGTAGCCCCCGAGCCTCTTGCTGTTTGAGAACAACGAGTGAGAGGGTCCAAAAGAAAAAACATCCGTAGAGGATATGTACCCTGCAGCCCCCGAGCTTGTGTCCGAGTACTTGTACTCGGGACAAGGATCTATAAAAGAATATACTCAAGGATTCGAGTGTAAGCAATATTTGCCGTCTTGTGCTTGTGAGAAAGCAGGTAAGACTTGTCAAAGTCACATGCAAGGCTGTTATCGCCGGTCCTAAAGATGCTAAAAATATTCGGTCGAATATGCTAAAAAAGATGTCCAGTGTACTGTTGCCTCACATGTGCTAAGATAAGGTTGTGCTGCACACTAAAAAGGTGTAGTGGGGCATACTGTACCCTTGTAGTGTGGCATGTGAGGCTGTATTGTAGTCAGAAACTTGACTGTTCTCTCCCCCATGAACTTAGTCCATGTAAACCACCTCGGAGCCTATAAAACCCCTCCTGGTGAGCATTGAACCCCATCGAAGGAGCAAGCAAAGTAGCTCTGAGTTTGAAGCTTGTAGATATGGTGGTTAACGAAGTAGACTAGCCCTCGGGAATACTCGGCTTGCATAGGCAAGAGTTGTAGCAACTAAAAGAATTCTTGTGATAGGGTTTAGAGGTAGGCTAAACCCGTAGTTGTGCACAGTAGAGTAGCCTGGAGCTGCAAGTAGAAGAATCCTTGTGACGGCCGGTAGAGTGGCATATCCAGCAGTCCCATGTAAGTTCTTCAAGTGTGCCTATCGACGTCTGTCCATGAAGGGTCATACTCTGACCCGAATGTGTACAGATGGTGTTGGCAAGATGTGCCAAGGGCTCATCCTACCACTAGCCAGTAGGTCGCCTCCTGCCAGCAGCTATGCTCCCAAGGGTAGTTGGCCAACAAATGTTCTTAGTCCAATAGACTACCCAAGGTTCTAGGCTAGACTACTCTGCACTTCTATTATCTACTCGGATGCGCTACTCTTCCGTCCATGATTCCAAGCATGCCGAGTAGATAAAGTCCTATTGAGAAGCGCTTAGAGTATGAGTACTCTGTCATAGCCGAGTAGGTTTTGTACTTGTAATTTCTGAAAAATCATGTATCCAATATCTATACTCTTTAATGGAAAATTTCTCCAAAAAATTCAGACTTGTCTTTGATCTATGATGCTTCATAATGTGAATGTTGTGAAACCGCGTGGCTGTCAGTTTGGAGCGGTGAACCGTGTGAACGGCGTGAAGCTGTATAACGTGGAAGTCAAAGGGCCATCTAGGCCGTTTAGAAACCCAGTAACGGCGATGTGTCATCTTTAGACTAGTAGCGACGAAGAAGTCGAAGGGCCAGTTGGGCCGTAGCAAAAGCCCAGTAATGACACCAACGCTGGGTCCACACTGTGGTAATGGGGAAGCTGAAGGGTTATGACCGTACCTATAAATAATCCCTTGCGGTAACTAAGGGTTTTTACCCCTTTCACTCACACTGCCGCCACCAGTGTTCTTGCTCTTGCTCGCTCCATAAGCCCTAGACGCCGCCGGTGAATGCGAGTGAAAAAGTTTGTTAATTTCTGAGTGATGGTGAAATCGAAGAAGACCGCCGCCGCTATTTCCGCGTCGAAGGGAGGCAAGAAGCAGTCGAGCAGAGTAGATCCATACACCGCGAAGATGCAGATTTGGGAGGAGTCGACTGTGAAGGAGGAGATGCTGATCAAGCTGCACGAGGATGGGCTGCTACCGGAGAAGCATCTCGGCGAGTGGAGAGCCCCTGGTAACCATCGTGTCCCCGAACTCGAAGAGGGCGAGATAGTGTTATTTACTCCTTTTGTCGAGCGCGGATTAGGGTTGCCTGCCTCTGATTTCTTCCGTGGATTGCTGCATTACTACGGCATCCGTATGAGCCATCTGAACCCTAATTCCATCCTGCAACTTTCGATTTTTGTCCATCTTTGCAAAGATTTCCTTGGAATCCCCCCTTCTCTCCGTCTGTTCCGATTTTTCTTCAAGCTAAAACCCCACCTGGATGCCACCAACCTAGATGTAGTGGGTGGAGCAGGTTCCAGTTTAGGATAGGACGAAAGATAGAGTACCTGACGTATAATCTGAAGGATTCCAACAAAAAGTGGAACAGTAGGTGGTTTTACTTTGGCAATGCGTTGCCGTCCATGGAAACCCACTCTACCGAGCCCCCTAGGGTGAATCCCTTTTGGGAGCAAGAGAACCTAACGATGGAGGATTTTGAGGTCATCCATCTTCATATCGCCTAGATTGTTGTGCGCCGCAAAGGTGGCTTGACTGGAGAGGGCGTAGCTGCCAGTTGGTTAGGGCGCCGAGTGCAACCCTTACAGCAAAGGCTGAATTATGGGTTTGAGTACATGGGGCCTGAGGACCCAGGCCATGTAACCAAGGAAGGACTATCTGATGCCGAGTTGCTGGATCGACTGCAACACATGTTTGCTCAGTTGAAAGAGCTACCTACGGCGAAGGACGAGTACTCCGCTGCGAACCCGCCACCAAATGTAAGTGTCATTAAATATCTATTTTTGACTTGAAGCTGAGTATCGTGACTGATGATGCATTATTTCTGTCTGCAGCACTTGGGATGTAACTTTGTGGATATCCCCTCTCTACCGCCACCACCGTGGCTAGGAACACGGGCTCTAGTGCTCAAGGTGACGCGAGGGAGGAAGCGGAGTCGGATGACTCTGAAGCCACCCTGAGAGACAACCAGCGTGGCCGGAGGCAGGCTGGTGAAGCCAAGAAGAAGCGGGCGCAGAGCCCAAGTGTGGAGTCGGAGGACACCACGCCCCTACAGAGAAGACCTCGGAGAGCAGTTCGGAAATAGAGAGAGAGCACTTCTCAGCAGTCAGCAATAGGGTAAGAGTTCTTTTCCTTCTCGGTTTTCTTGAATATTAGTCAATCCCTTTGTGTGTGGGGGGGTTGAAAACCCTAACTTTGTTGCACAAATCAAGAGCCAATTGCTCGAGATGCCTGAGCTTGGTGAAGAAGATACACCATTTGGAGGAGCGGCGCCGGCTACTTTGAGGAGGCTAACCTCCTTGCACAAAACATCCACTGAAGCGTATGTAAAACCAACTTATCTTGATTGTATATACTCGACTGCCTTGTAGGAGTGTAATTGTTCATGATGCTATAGGTCATCAAGTGGAGAAAAGACGCCGCCCCGCCCTGAGACGGACCCTGTGTCCCTGAAAGGGGCGCCGGTGAATAACCCCGTGGTGGAGCTACCCAGAGGAGACCTAGAGAATAGGCCGAGTACCCCTCCCGTGGAGCCCACAGAGAATCTGGGTAGCTCAGAAGCTACGAGGGTGCTGACCACCCAGGTGGAGCAGACGCCGAGTAGAACTCGGCAACCTCTAGAGTCATATGCTCCGAGCCTGGCTCGAGCCAGGGAAGCATGGAGCATAGTCATCGAGAAGACTGCCGATTTCGACGCAGCTTTCAGAGTAAGTAGTTGTCCTTTAATTTACCCATCCCTGATTTGCTACTGTATGTTGTATAACATTGCATGAGTAGCTTGTTGTGCAGGAAATAGAGATCAAGGCATCCCAGCAGGCACAGCTGATACATGCCGACTTGTCTGGCGAGGTGGCACGTCTAAAGCAGCAGCATGCTGAGGAGTTGGCCGCTGCAGAACGCCGCCGACTGGAGTCGGTGCAAGCTCTGCAGACTCAGGTTGATGAGATCAGAGGGAGCCTTGAGGCCACTCGTCAGGAGCAGGGCATTGCCTTGGCTGGGTTGAAGGCCGCCCAAGATGGCCAGAAGAAGGCCAAGGAAGCCTGTGAAACCAAGAGCCAAGCTTTGGTGAAGAAGCTGAAAGGTACTTGTCTGTATACCTTGTATGAGCTGAGTAGTCTGAATATGTAGAAATCTTTGACTAAGCCT